CTATTAAAATTGTATTGATCTAATGAAGCTTAAATTAATGTACCAGAAATTATTGTAGTTCATATTTTTAATCCATTCATTAATTCATTTTCGCTCGGCTTAGTCCCTTATTTATCAGGAGTCCCCACAGCAGAATGAACCGCCAACTATTACAGCATATGTTTTACGCAACGAATGCCCTTCCAGCAGCAGCCAACCAAGTACTGGGAAATACCCCTATCCACTCATTCACACACACACAGTCATACCCTACGGCCAATTTAGTTCATCCAATTCACCTACAGCGCATGTCTTTACACAGTGAGGGAAACCGGAGCACATGGAGGAAACCCAAGCCGAAGAAATGCCAACTGGCCCAGCCGGGGCTTGAATCAGTGACCTTCTTGCTGTGAGGCGACAGTGCTAACCCCTGAGCCACCATGCCACTCTTATATTTTTAATCCAATTAAATAAAAATATATATACTAGTCTACACACATTACAATAATAGAAGTGTGGAGCTACTGTATGCTTATAAAGACAGTACAAAATAATAGGTTCACACTTCTTATTTTATAAAAATAATTATCATGCATTACTGCTACAGTGCTGGCTAATTTAAACTGAACATCATGTGGTGCTCTGTCAAATCAATACTAAGGTCATTCCTATACATTCAGGGCTCATTAAACCGCTTTTCCAGTGGCTTAGGAGCAAAAATAGAAATGCGGTTGGACATTCTTCACCCTGACAACATAATCTACTATGTGTTGTTTCTGTGCTTTGTTTTTTTTCTCACTCAGTATCATGCCTGGCATTCAGATTGTACACAGTTTCACACTGACTCACTCGCTTTGCCGTTCTGTGAAAAGGAGATGTGATTTGCATGTTAACAGGCCAGTGCAGTATGCTGCTTTTTTTTTCATCTACAATATTATTTTAATACAGGCACCTCATCGGTTGGGCGTCTCGGAAGAGTTCTTTGAGCCTTCAGGGAGATTCATCACAGACAGAGGTTTTATTAGTGCAAGAAAAAGTATATGTAAGGGCCTGTTTGCATTTAGTATGACAAAGCGTTTTTGTAACAATATGCATAACATGGGTTTAGGCCTGTCTTGATATTTATTTTTTGTTATGCAATATATTGCACCAAAATATATTGCCATAAACGTTATTATTGTCATTTTAAGACCATTTTATGCCACTCATTATATAACGCCAGAATGACAATATAATATCATCACAATGCAAGTACACTCTTCCAAAGAGATTCTTAAAAATATTACACTTACAGTCATTTTAGCAATTTAATAATTAGGCATTGGAATCAGAGGGCTCTATTTTAATGATCTAGACACAAAGTCTAAGGGTGCTTTCACACCTGTGAATCGATTCAGTTGTTCCGAAACAGAGATTACAATTGTTACATTGTTGCTTTTTGCTCTTGGAGCGGTTCGCTTTCACACTGCAAAGTTTCTAATCAGACCAAATGAGCTAAAACAAGTCACGTGTGAGTAAACTCTCCTCACATTGGTCAGAGTGTCAGGGTTTATTTTGCAGCGTCCCGCTAAGCTGTCAGGAGAGGTGGTGGTTTGGTGGTGATTGACAGGGTGCGTGCGCGCGACGTGTCTGAGGAGAGACGCGGTGGGGAGGGGTGAGAAGGGTGCGCGACGATGCCTATTTGAGGACCTGGAGGGAGACGCGAGATTACCGGGAGATCATCACTCGTTTGCGGGCATCCGGAGACTTGCGAAACTTCCCACCCCACTCACAATTCTCTCTTCATATAGCCGTATGCCTATTACATATCCATAAAACACAGTGATACAACCGCGCTCGGATCGGATTGCTTTCTCACTACAATCGAACCGCTCCAGGGTTCGTTTCAATCGAGCCGAGACCACCTCATTCAAGCGATCTCGGAGCGATTACTTTGGCGCGGAACAGAGCGCGATTGCCCTGTTCACATATGCCAAACGAACCGCGCTAACTGGCCAAACGAGATACGTTCCGAAACAAAAGTGTAGGTGTGAAAGCACCCTAAAGCGCATTGCGCAAAAGCATTAAGGGCGTGTCTGAATCCACTTTTGCTATTTTAAGGACAGTAAAAAATTAAAATAAAATAAATAAATAAATTCGCTCTGCACCGCAGCGCATGGTCTAACAGGGTTGTGCTTATTCTCTTAATGAGTTATGGGTGTGTTTTGAGAATAACCTGCATTAAACCAATCAGAGTCTCATCTCTCATTCACTTTAAGAGTCAGTTGTGTCACGCCATGGTGCATTTGCTATTTACATGGCGGACTTTGTAAGTGAAAAAACTGAGCGCTTCACTAGTTAGAAAACAGTTAAACAGAGCATCTGCAGCGCGAGGATAAAGAACGAGCCTCCATCATTCAGCCTCTTTGCTTTATTTTTACTCTTTACTTCTTTACGTTCATGGAGTAAGGAAATGGTGGAAACTCACTACTCTGAAGACATCCAACATATTTAATTTTGTTTAAGCGCAAAGATTTGTTTCAAAACTATTTCTAAAATCAGTATTAATTTGCAGCAAATGAATAAATGAACAATAATAACGAAGTGTGCATGGTCAAAAAACTGAGCTATATTTATTGCATCACCAAAAATGATCATGCCCATGTGTTGTGCGATAAGTCTATTCATTCATTTTCTTTTTGGCTTAGTCTCTTTATTAATCTGTGGTCACCACAGCGTAATGAACCGCCAACTTATTTAGCATATGTTTTACCCATCGGATGCCCTTCCAGCAGCAACCCATCACTGTGAAACACCCATACACACTTATTCACACACATACACTAAGGACAATTTAGCTTACCCAATTTACCTGTAGCGCATATCTTTGGACTTATGGGTGAAACCGGAGCACCCCGAGGAAACCCATGTGAACATGGGGAGAACATGCAAACTCCACACCAAAATGTCAACTGACCCAGCCGAGGCTCGAACCAGCGACAGTCTTGCTGTGAGGCAAATGTGCTACCCACCGCGCCACCCTGATATAAATAAGTGTGACTAAACATACTACAAATTTATTTTAAACATCATGTTTACTCGCATATATTTCTTAAAAAATAACCAATAAAATAAAATCATTACAAACCTGTATGACGTCTCAAAGTGAATCCAAACACAAAATCTAAGATAACACTTTGGCTGTGTCCGAAACCGCATACTTCAATACTATATAGTACACTAAAATCAGTATGCGAGCTGAGTAGTATGTACGAATTCATAGAATTCGAAAGTCAGTATGCGAGAAGTACCCAGATGACTTACTGCTAAGATTCTGAAGTTATCCCATGATGCCCCGCAAGAGAATTAATGAATGGGAGTAAAGTGATGCAACTGACGCAGGTAGGTCACGTGACCATGACAAAATGGCGGATGTAGTACGTCCGAATTCTATTCATACTTTTCAAATTCATACTTAAATGTACTTTTTCTAACGGCTGAGTACTACGTTTAAATTCAAATGCATTTTAAGACACAATCCATGATATTAACTACAGGTTTATTACCTGCCTATTATTAAGATATTACCTGTTTATTAGTAGCTTTAAAATATGATCTCATTCCAAATCCCTAACCTAAACCCAACTACTACCTTACTAACTATTAACAGCAAGCAAATTAGTAGATAATTGAGTGAATAATCTTAGCTAACAGTTTAAGTGTAAATAACCAAATAATAAAATCATTACAAACCTGTATGACGTCTCAAAGTGAATCCAAACACAAAATCTAAGATAACACTTTGGCTGCGTCCGAAACCACATACTTCCATACTATATAGTACACTAAAATCAGTATGCGAGCTAAGTAGTATGTACGAATTCATAGAATTCGAAAGTCAGTATGCAAGAAGTACCCAGATGACTTACTGCTAAGATTCTGAAGTTATCCCATGATGCCCCGCAAGAGAATTAATGAATGGGAGTAAAGCGATGCAACTGACGCAGGTAGGTCACGTGACCATGACAAAATGGCGGATGTAGTACGTCCGAATTCTATTCATACTTTTCAAATTCATACTTAAATGTACTTTTTCTAATGGCTGAGTACTACGTTTAAATTCAAATGCATTTTAAGACACAATCCATGATATTAACTACAGGTTTATTACCTGCCTATTATTAAGATATTACCTGTTTATTAGTAGCTTTAAAATATGATCTCATTCCAAATCCCTAACCTAAACCCAACTACTACCTTACTAACTATTAACAACAAGCAAATTAGTAGATAATTGAGTGAATAATCTTAGCTAACAGTTTAAGTGTAAATTGTCACTTAAAATAAAGTGTGACCCAAAAATGCTCTTCTTTTCCACTCAACAAATGTTTATAGGCCCTGTCAGACTTCAATAAGGACAAAAAGCCCCATAAAACTACCACAAAGCAGCAACAGTCACACTCAAAAATGGGAAGATGGAAACTCAGAGTGTTTTTAGAAAGACACAGGGGTGAGTAAAGGATGACAGAATGTTTGTTTTTCGATGAACTATTGCTGTAACCCTTGTGTGTTGTTGGGAATGTTTTCATCCACTCTGGAGGTATTTTAAGGCTTAATTTGGTCACAACTTTCTTTGTGTTTCAGCAAATGGAATGATTTTTGGTGATAAATCTTATTTTGACATATTTTAGCAAAATGCTTTGGAATATTTAAAAAACTCAATTATCCAGTCTCGGCAAATTGACTACCCTTTCATTATGTTGGGGGTTATTTTTGCCCCATTGACTTCCATTATAATGAAAATATAAATAACAGATTTTACCTCTCCCAGCAGGGAACACCACCAACAATCAGTAATGCATGATTATATGCTGTCATGGCTTTGCAATCAAAAAACGTCAGTATAATGGAAGTCAATGGGGCAAAAAGAGCCATGAAGATAACGAAAGGGATATTCAATTTGAACAGTACACAAGGGTTAAGATCACCAACTCAGCAAATGATTCGATTTGTCAAGCTGCAGCTGGGTATTTTAGGTTTACCTCCAGGGAAAGATCTTCAGCACAGCACGCACAGAGGTCAAGCCATGAGGAAGGAGGCTGGGGAGGCTTGATCAGGCCTGATGTTTTCTTCTTGCTCCTTACTTTACTCCAGTGTGGGGTTTTGGCCCTAGGGCCCAGCCTGAGTCCCGAAGCTGCTGGAGAAAAAAAACACACACAAAGATTTAGTGAAGTACAACCAGTCAATTAGTGTTTTTTGTCTTACATGTGTTTTTTTGAATTAGTATGCGGATGACGTGCTGTGCTTTTCGCAGTTAGGACGGTAAAAGCTTCTGTAAAAAGTTGCCTTTTTAATTCCATCTCCTGCTGCCGCAGAGTAAAGGAGTGTTTCACTTTTAAAATGCTGTGTGAAGTTATAAACAAGAAAACTCAAGGCCCATGCATTCTGTTGCTCTCCAAATTTCCCTTTAAAGGGCTCATATTGAGCGCTTTCATTTTTCTTATTATTTCGTTATGCAGGTCAGTGCTGAGTTACTTTTAAAAGTAATATATTTCCACTTGAGTCACTTTTTTAAAAAGTAACTAAATATTAGGGGTGCGATGAGGTGCTTACTCCAGGAGACAAGACATTGGGTTTACGAGAACAAGATGAGATTTTTATACTATTTTTGAAATCCTTAATGATATAATATCTGAATGTAAAATCAAAATGCAAAACAATTTAGGTGCTTTTTTTAAAATCAACTTGTCATGAATGTTATTTACCTCTATTTTAATGAATTATGTCTTAAAGAACATGCAAACACAGCACAATATTCAGCTATAAACTCTACTCACTGGACAACCTCTAAGCTACTGGATGCGAGTATGAACTGATATGAGAGAGCTGCTTTAACGGAAGTTGCTATCCATTGATAGCCGAATGAAAAGAAAACTTCAGATGATGATGACTATGATGACGGGAGTGTGTCTCCAGGAGTCCTGTGCCAGGAGTTACATGTCTGTACAGCACTTCAATTATGCGACTAAAATACTAATGTTTCAGGTCTTAACTCGACTTATGTTTATGATGATTATGACTTTAAGCATATCTAAAGAGCGAATACATCTCATGGTTTATATATGTAGCTGCAGTTGTAGCAACCTTTGCTTTTGGATGCAGCAACCAGGGTTGCAGTTTACAGGTACTATGGTAGTATCGCTACCAAAATACTGGTGGTGCCACTGTAGTTTGTAAACGGTAGTATCGTCATTAACGGTCTATCTACAATAGATAATGTTGGATGTGGAAAAGTCACTAAAATGCTCACATGCTTGTGCAACAATAGACCGTTTTAATTTTATAGTCTGTGGAGTTTTTTGACGTTTCAAACACACATTTAAATTGGTTAATTTCTGTTCCTCTCAATATGATTAAGTAACTACAACAATCGTGGCAATCTCTTAAAAACAATGACTCACAAAGAGTAATTTTCAATTACTTTGGATTGTACCCTGAGAAGACAAAAAAAACAAAAAAACAATAGATAAAAAACCCAAATAGCAACAGGAAAAATTACAACTATTTTTGACCACTTCATGTAGCCTAATTTTGTTGGAAAAATGCTATTTTTAAAACAAATTACATTTGGTATAATTTTTATCTTTGTATTAATGTATTTTCTGTTGGTCGGATCATTCGTTCGTTCATTTTCTTGTCGGCTTAGTCCCTTTATTAATCCGGGGTTGCCACAGCGGAATGAACCGCCAACTTATCCAGCCTCCAGCCGCAACCCAGTACTGGAAAACACCCATACACTCTCACATTCACACACACACTCATACACTAAGGCCAATTTAGTTTATTCAATTCACCTATAGTGCATGTGTTTGGACTGTGGGGGAAACCAGAACATACAAACTCCACACAGAAATGCCAACTGGCCCAGCCAGGACTCGAACCAGTGACCTTCTTTTTGTTAGGCGACAGTTTCAGTTTCAGTTTCCTTTATTTATGTCATTCAAATCATCACAATAGATTTGTAATGCAGAACGAAATTACGTTGCAACAGACCCAACAAGAACATAAAAAACATCACTATAAAAACACTATAAAATCCTAACATGATAAATAAGCTTTTATAATTCCATAAAATATAAAAAATATAATTATATAAGATATAACCCATTTTTAAAAATCTCTGAAGAGAATAACTTAATACTTAAATACCTATTTCACCATGTGTTGTAATATTAACAATTTATGCTAGTTTAACAAATTTATTTATTATTTAACACTAGCTTTCAACAATGCTTAAGAAATGGTATTATTTAAAAGTCTTATAATGACAGGATAAAAACTATCTCGAAACCGCACTGATTTGCTCCTCAGACTTCTGTAACGCCTGCCTGATGGCATGAGTGAGAGCAGGCTATGACCAGGGTGGGTTGGATCCCCTAAAATGTTATTTGCCCTAGACAGACAATGGCGTTGGTAAAGTTCCTCGATAGATGTCATTTTGACTCCAACAGACCTTTCAGCTGACTTTATGATCCTCTTAATGGTGTTCTTATCAGACACACTGCTATTCTCATACCAAAGGGAGATGCCATTTGTAAGAACACTCTCAACAGCTCCTCTGTAAAAAGTTGTGAGGATTGATTGGCTGAGATGTGCTCTTTTCAACCTTCTCAGAAAGTGCAGTCGCTGGTGCGCTTTCTTCGCAAGACAAGTGGTATGGAGAGACCAAGTCAGGTTATTTGTAACATGGACCCCCAGGAATTTTATCTGCTGAACAGTCTCCACAGCAGTGTTATTAATATATACAGGGGAATAAGTGGGGCGTTTCTTCCTGAAGTCGATCACCAACTCCTTAGTTTTATCAACATTCAGAACTAAATTACAGTGCCCTTTAATGACAGTGCTAACCACTGAGCCACCATGTCGCCCTCCCTTAGTTATTGTTAAGTTTATTTAAATTTAGATTTAACCTGCTATGCATGTGGGACTTTTACTTTGAAAACAGTTTAAACTCATATCAGGATGCAAAATGCAGGATATACAGATTAAGTGAGATTTCCCCTAAAACAAGCAAACTAATCTGCCAATGCGGTAAGCAAAAAAAAGAAAAATCAAAATGAAAAACTAGATTATTTTGCGCATCCCACAGGCAGATTAATTTGCCTGTTTTAAGGAAAATAAATGACTTAATTTTGGCATATTATTTCTTAAAACATGACATTAATTTTGCTTGTCAAGAAAATGCTTCTTGACTTAAAGTAAATTGTTTTTGCAGTAAGGCTATATGACAAATCTACAACAGAACATACATTCGTCCATCTTAATTTGCCTTAGTCACTTATTCTTCAGGGGTTGCCCACAGTGCCACAGTGCCACCAACTATTCCGGCATGTGTTTTACAAAGCAAACACCCTTCCAGCACAAGCCCAGGACTGAAAAAACACCCATACACACTCACATTCACACATATACACTCATACACTACTGCCAATTTTGTTTACCCAATTCACCTATAGCGGCTGGGATGAGAATCAACACCTCCAAGTCCGAGGCCATGGTGCTTCAAAGGATAAAGGTGGTTTGTCATCTCCAGGTTGGAGGAAAGTCCTTACCCCAGGTGGAGGAGTTTAGGTATCTCTGGGTTTTGTTCATGAGTAAGGGAAGGATAGAACGTGAGATTGACAGGTTTATCGGTGCAGCAGCAGTAATGCGGTCGATGTACTGGTCCGATGTGCTAAAGAAGGGGCTGAGCCGAAAGGCAAAGCTTTCGATTTACAATCAATCTACGTTTCTACTCTCAATTATGGTCATAGGCATTGGGTCAAAAGGACAAGATCTCGGATAAAAATGCCCAAAATGTTTCTTTCAAGGGGTGGCAGGGTGCACTCTAATGGATAGGGTGAGGAGCTCTGACACTCGGGAGGAGCTCGGAGTAGAGTCGCTGCTCCTCCACATTGAGTGAACTCAGCTGAGGTGGCTCTGGCATCTGTTTCGGATGCCTCCTGGATGCCTACCTAGGGAGGTGTTCCAGGCATGTCCCACCAGGAGGAGGCCTCAAGGAAGACCCAGGACACATTGGAGGGACTTTGTCTTTTGGCTGGTCTGGGAACGCCTCGGAAACACCCTGGAGGAACTGGAGGAAGTGTCTGGGGAGAGGGAAGTCTGCGGCTCTCTCCTAAGACTGCTGCCTCCGTGACCCAGCCTCGGAAAAGAGGCAGAAAATAAATGAATGAATGAATGAATGAATGGACCTATGGCTCATGTCATTGGACTGTGGGGAAACAGGAGCACCTGGAGGAAACCTGTCGAGAACATGCAAACTTCGTTGAGAAATGCCAACTGGCCCAGCCGGTACTCAATCCTTCTTACTGAGGCGACATTGCTAACCACTGAGCCACCATGCCACCTACAACAGAACAGCTGAAGAAAAAATCAAGGTGTTCAATAGTCCAGTCAAAGTCCTGACCTCATCCCGACTGAAATGCAGAAAAACTCCTCCAGAATGATCCGAGAGACTGAGGAGCTCATCCAGAAAATGAGGACTTTAGGTTATTACAGTTAAAAGTGGATCTACATGATCTGAATCATAGGCTGTCCTCAGTTTCTCACCCACAGCTTTTCTGTCTTGGCTTTATTTTTTGGTTAAATATTAATAACACAGCGTGAAAGGACATGTGAAACTGTTCATCTGAGGTTTTATCTTCCCAATTTTAAGGCCTGTCAAAGCACCATTTCGTTTATTATGTCCTGATATGGAAAACGATCAAATTCAATAGGGTGTCCTAACGTTTTCACAGTACTGCACATCAGCATGCGGAATGTTTGCATTGTGTCACCCAAATGTCTATGGGAAGAAAAAAGGTGCATAATTGCATGTGTGTAAATGTGGTCTGCATAATTCATAAACGCACATTTATTATGCATAATACAGCCTGGTATTCAAACATAAAGGCTGAATGTAACTTTTTTTCTGACAATAGTTAGGTTTCAAATGCTAATAAACTTAACAAACTGTTAATGGCCTTATTAACTCTCAAAGCAATCTTTAACCCCAGAAAATAAAAGTTCTGCAGTCATTTATTCCCCTTACGTAGTTTCTTTCTTTCATAAAACACTTAATGAGTTTAACAATGTTTTATTGCATGTGAAGTACATCATAAGTTCTTTAAAGCCATTTGATACCTTTATGTGAGAGAA